AGAACTTTACCTAGCTGAAAACCATGCATAATTCAGCATAGAGAGTGAACCATAATCTCTTTACACTGTTTGGGTAAATGGTTTGTGCTCTGAAAACAGGAATTTTCCAGATAGCAGCGAAAAGTCAGATTGTATTTCTCTTCGATACAAGGATCTGCCACAACTAGAGGCCCTAGCAATCTATCCTATGGCCCCAAAGGGTCAGGAGAAATGTTGTCTGTCCTCACATCTGAGACAGGATGCAAATATAGCATTGAGGCTGACACTTAGAAAAGCATCCATGTTTAGCTCTGAGCACACAGATACGTGGAATGGGTCTGTCCCTCTGAATGCTGGGTGGATTTATGTGAATGCATGTTGATTTCTTTCTTCTGCAATTGGGAAATACCAAATGATCATTCATAAAGGCTTTGATTTGTTTTATATAAATACTTTTGAGACAGTAGAGCCTGGAGTTTAGAAACTTCATTTCAAATCTGTGGCTACTTCAATTGTTACCTACACAAACTACACAACAGGCAGCACTGCATAGAGATCTCTGTGAGAAGAGAAAGAAATGAGGTGAAACTTATGCCCCAGCTTACTGTTTGGCAACAGTTTCTGGGATTTGTCATAGGGAGAGAGTGTCCAGAGAGAGAGAGCTCAGCAGTCCCCCCTGAGCTAAGAAGTCAGATTCAGAAGTTTGAGAGGATCAAGGCAGCTTAGAATCTGTGGGCAAGAGTATCAGAAAGGAAGGAGATGCAGAGAGAAACAAAGACAAACAGACACAGAGACAAAGACAGAGGGAAGGAGAACACGCTCTGGAGATAGCAAAGAACTTCCCTTGGGTCTTTGATGGAGTCCCAATCAGAACACACGAGTAAGAAAAACACCAAGGCTGGGGAAAGAACTACTAAAGGAACAGGAAGTATAATCCCTGGAGCTCAGCTGGTACGAGGAGTAGTTTGCATTCCCACCATCCAGTGAGGAAAACCTTGTAATACATGAGGCACGGAGTATTGCTTAGGTGTGGGGACAAATTATCCGTAGACTTACGGCTGATCTGGTCCAAACTAACCATACTTAAAAGTAAGTCTTGAACACCTTGAACTGATTCCAAATCACTTAACTGGGTTACAAAATGAAGTCCTCGAATATTTAAAGGTATAATAAAAAATGCTGCAACTCAACATAACATTCACAATGTCCAGAAACCAGTAAAAATCTACCAGGCATGCAAAGAAACAGGAAAACATAGGAGAAGAACAACCAATTGATAAAAACAGACTCAGAAATGACACAGATGATAGAATTAGTAGACAAAGGATTTAAAACAACTACTATAAATATATTTCATATGTTCAAAAAGCATGGGCAGATATAGGAAAGATGGAAAATAAAATAGATGAACAGATAGGTAGATAAATAACAGATGTAGACACATGAGGATGATTTTATACCTATCTATTTATCATAGAACTTCTATAAATGAAAAAAAAATACATGAGGTTTAAAATACACTGGATGGGAGATAACAGCAGATTAAATACTGCAGCAGAGCAGTGAACTTGAAGGCATAGCAATGAAATTATCCAAAATGAAATAAAGAGGGGAAAAGAATGAAAAATAAAATTAGTACGGCATCAGTGCGTCAGTGAGTTATGGGACAATATCAAACAGCCTAACATACTTGTAATTGGAATCCCAGAGAATAGGAGTGGAGATGGAAAAAATGTTTGAAGAAACAATTATTGCAAATTTAACAAATTTGATGAAAACTCTAAACTCATAAAAAGCTCAATAAGCCTCAAGGAGAAGAAATAAGAAAACACATAAGGCACAGTATATTAAAGAGTAAAATCTTTAAATTCACCCAGAGAAAAAAAATGCCTATTACACACACAAACAAAGGTAAGACTTTTCATCAGAAAAGTCTGTCTACTAGTCAGAGACAGTAGAGTAACATCATTATAGTTTGTTTGTTTGTTTGTTTTTTTAATGTAATAGGAGTTAACTCGTAAGGGTGTGTTAAGGTTTAAAAGAGGTAATATTTTTATTTTTTAATTCTTAGGCTAGCACAAAGTGGGTGCTATTTTAAGTATTTAGTAAATTAAACAAACAAACAAAAACAAAAACAATTGTAGGCTTCCTTTCCCAAAAGATCCCAGAATTTTAGGTGTGCAAAGAGGCCCTTAGAAATCATCAAATCCAAATCAATGATTTTACAGGATTGATCCCTGAGGCTCAGACTTGGCATCACCCTTGGTCAAGGACAAAAATGAGGTATAGGCAGAGGGAGCTTTGGGACCCCAATAACTCATGGGTCTTCTTGATGACACCTTCTGCCATAGTCACTATCCACTGTCAACCATTTGATTTTCTCCAGTCTCATTCCCAAGTATCACTCTTCACTGCAACCTTCTTTTTGTATTTGTGGCTTTTCCCTAGAAATTACCTCCTAAGAATTTGCTTTGCTCAAGCAATTTATTCTTCTTCATTTTCCTCCTTCTAGCAAATAAAGTGGTCTCATCTATAGTCATCTAGTTCAAAGCAGAGTTTAAATCTTGGATGAAGATAAGTCCCCCTACTCACTGCCAGCTTGTGAAGGCAATGGTCTAGTCACTTGGAGGGTGTTTAGGATCCCTGGGGAGATTCTGGGGCTACCCCCTCTGGGCCCCTACCTCCCCCAGTTCCACTGGCAAAACAGCTTTGGAGCCTGCTGGCACAGAAAAAACAGACAGCAAGGGCTCCTCACCGGAGCATATTTGAAAAGGTAAGACCAGATCCTCTGTTAGTCACAACAAACTAGAAGATTAATTAAAGCCACTCAGACTAACAGGTGGGTCTCCAGAGGTGCACAGCACTGGACACACCTTAAGCCCTGATTTATCACTTAAAATTGTTATCACCAAGCGTGCATTTAAGTTTCTCCCCAAACACACCGCTTCTGCACCCAGCACACTTAAGCTTCCCTTTACCACCACCTTTCTTCCTGCAAAGACTTCAGGGAAAGAAGAGGGTTAAAAATGCTGGTGTGCAACTGTCAGGGCCGCCCCCCCCCCCAATCTGGCCCTAAGAGGCCAATAACAGGGAGCAGCAATGCACATTAATCAATCCATGTGCCCAGCTATATACAAAGAGTCATGTGTTAAAAACATGGAGGACAAAATGAATATATCTTGAACTTACTACATGCAAGAAACAATTATTATAGTTAATCCTTGCAACAACATGGAGGTATAAATATTATTATTCCTACTTTGTGGCTGAGGAAGTTGGTGCTTAGAGAGGCTAAGTGAGTCATAGAGCGAAATGAAAGCTGAGGAGACAAGTTTCACACACAGGGCAGTTGTCTCTCCTGGTGCTATATGAGCTCAGGCAGGAGGAGAGCACTGTGGGTGGTGGCCACAGTCACAGGTGGCTTCCTGCAGGAAGTGGTGTGCCTGCTGGGCTTTGAGACAGGCAGAGAGGAGGGATGAAAGAAGGCAAGCTTAGGGATACAACATTAATAAAGCAAAAGAACAAGAGTGACCAGGGCAGGCACAAGACCCACTGATAGTGATAGAGGTGGAAGGAGATCAGAGTGGATGAAACGGATGCAATCCTTACGATCTTCTCATGTGGGCACTGAGATAGACAGACGGTTTCATGTGGAGGAGTAGTATAAAGAAAAGAAGTTTTAGGTATCTGGCTATTCCTAGATGGCTAAGCTATTCTTTTTTGGGAAGGAACAAACAAATCCAGGAGAGCTTCTTGGAATCTCTTACCATGGTGCTGAGCACACAGCTGAATAAGACCATAACAGCTGGCACTTATTAAACATTTTGAATAAACCAGACACTTTGATAAAATCTTTCCATGCCCCATCTATTCTCCACTATAACTTTGGCAGTATGTCACTTTCACTGAGCACATTTTACAGAGGAGGAAACTGAGACCCAGAGGGTCAAGCACCTTACTTGCTCAAGTATACACCATTGGTAAGGAGCAAGCCTGATTTAGACATGAGACTCCAGAGCCTTTGCTCTACGGCCTTGTAACTCAAAGTATGATCTGCAGAGCAGCAGTGTGGGACTCACCTGGGAGCAGGAGTATTTGTATTTGAAGATCTTTTCCTTAATGAATATGAAAGCTCTTAGAAAAACATAAAGCATTATCAAAGGGAAGGTATTAGAAATGCTTTTCAGCCATGGAAATTGGATTTAAGACTGTGACCCTTTCTTGGTTTATGCCTTGCATATTTGAATCTCAGCACAGAGCTGAATGGGTCCAGATGCTCTTGAGCAAAGCCCTAGAGCAGGTGTCGTCAAACCTTTTATATAAAAGACTAGGGAGGAAATATTTTAGGCTTTGCAGGCCATATGGTCTCTGTCATGATTACTCAACTCTTCCACTGTAGCATGAAAGCAGCCACGAACAATACATAAATGAACAGCGTGGCTGTGTTCCAATAAAACTTTATTTATAAAAATAGGAGGTGAGCTGAATTTGGCTCCCAGGCTATGGTTTGCCATCCCAATGCTAGAACACCAGATATTCCCTCTCAAAGAGGGGCTGTAGAAAGGAGGGCAAGGTAAGAAAATATGCTTTTCTTTGAATGGACATTCTAGTAGTCACCTGGAGGCAGGACATTCCAACCAGTCCAAGAAAGGTTTGGACTCTGAGTATCTAGAATGAATACAAGATGTACTGACAGACTGAAGAACAGTAAACAGGCTATTTATGGCAGGGAAAACTTTTTTGCTCCTTCATGTCAAACTCTTGTCAGACGGGCTCTGCAGAAGAGAAGGGCATGTCAACTGATTTCCATCAATTCTGTTTTATTCATTCATCCTTACTGAATGACTACTATATGCCAGATATTATAAATAAATACAGGATAAATTATGTAATTCCCCTGTTTTCAAAAAGTTCATAACCCAAAGGGGGAAGAAGGTATAAATACACAGCCCAAGCCAATGTTGTGTGTGCTAGAAAGGTGAAAGCTAAGACGTACTACATGAGCTTGGAGGAGGGCACCGTATACAGACCAGGAGAAGGGAATTAGAAGCAGCTATCAGGGAGAAGGTAAGCCTCTATTGATATCTCAAGTCTTGGAGGATGCAAAGTCAACCAAGTGAAGGAGGGGCAGAGTGAAAAATGTGCAAAGGCTATAGGTGGAAGGAGCATGTGAACTTAAAGCAATGTGACTGCAGAACCAGAAAACTGAGTCTAAGTAGGAAATGCAGGGAAATGGGGTGACGGACAATCTGGGGCCAGACTGTCAAAGACCTTTTCAGTCTGAGGAAAGGGGGTCCAATTCTTAGGGCAATGGGAGTACAATGAAGCCTTTTAAACCAAGGAGAAACAATGTCTGAATTTTTTTTTAAATCTAAAGACATTTTACTAAGACTTTGGTATAGAAATGAAGGGACTAAGGGGGTGACAATATAGAGGAGAGGCCAGTGTTCAAGACACTCTGGAAGTCACCTAGGAAAGAGGTGGTGCCCTGACTAAGCTACTAACAGGGGTCAGAGAGAAGGGTATAGTATCAGAAAGAATTAAAAGCTAGATCTGATAAAGCTTGGTGTGAGAGAGTGTTTAAGAAGACACCCAAGTTTCAGACTAACTGGGTGGGTGCTGATGTCATTTAGTGCAATATTCAATACAGAGGAGGATTGGGTTTGGAAGAGGGGTGATGACTTCAGCTTTGGACTTGTTAACTTTCTGTGGCTGTAAGCCAGACTAGTGAAGATACTGGAACTGGGACTTAGGGGAGAGATCAGGGCAAGAGGCAGGAGTTTAGAACATTGGGACTGTGATAGAAGCCATGGTAGCGATGAGATCACACAGAAAGAGTGCATACAGTAAGAAGAACAGAAGGCCTAGGAGGAATTCCTGGGGAGAGATGGACAGAGTAGGGAAACCATGAGGAAAGGAAAGGACACCCAGGAGGAGGAGGAGGACCAAGAAAGAGTGACATAACAGTCATTGTCAGGGATGGCACATGGACTATCTCCTATAACGCTTCCAACAGCTGTATGTCTGGACCTGATTATTCTTATTTTACAAATAAGAGAAGGAAGCAAACCATAAGAGACTCTTAAATACAGAGACCAAACTGAGGGTTGATGGGGGGGGAGAGGGGAAAATGGGTGATGGGCATCGAGGAGGGCACTTGTTGGGATGAGCACTGGGTGTTATGTGTAAGTGACAAATCATGGGAATCTACTCCTGAAACCAAGGGGACACTGTATACACTGCATGTTAGCTAACTTGACAATAAATTATACTAAAACAAACAAATAAGCAAACAAGAAAACAAAACAAAACAAAAAAAACAAAAAGTGGAAAAGAAAGGGGAAAAAAAGAGAGAGAGAGCTGGGAATCAGTGGGAAAAGCAACTTGACTAGGTTTGCAGCACCAGCAGATTTTGGAGGCGGCATTGAAACATACATCCGTGAGGTGTTTTGTCTTGTTTTGTTTTGTTTTTGAAGCCTATGCACTTCTACCCCATAAGCCACATCAGAGATTTCAATAAGAAAATGAATAACATTTATTTAGTAAGTACTGTACTTTACACACCGCTATAAACATTTTGAAAATATTTACTTATTTAACTCTCACGACAACCCGGTGATACCCAGTACCAATACTCCAGTACCATTATTATCCTCTGTTAAAAAAAAAAAATCACCCTAGATTACATGGCTTGAAAATGACAGAGCTGGGTTTTAAATATAGGAAGCCTGTGCTCCTCACCACCTCATCATACAACTCAAATCTGAAACCTTTAAGCCTTTAATTCAGCAGAGGCTAATAAGGTGACTATCACGTACCTGGCATTATGCTCCATGTTGCAATTCAAAAATGCACTGAAACATTACAGTCCCTACCTAAATGGATCTTACAGTTCAGTACCTCTTCAATATTATCTAGAAAAGACAACCGAGGGGCAAGAGTTGAGGGATGGAATGTGCAGGACACTTGAATTGGGGACCAGGTAAGAGAAACTCGGGTTCTTATTGAACACCTCTGTGTGGAGTACTGCTCTAGACCCGAGATGAGCTATAATGGGAAAACTAGTTTAAGGGCATAGTGCTGGGTATTTCAGACTTGCCTGACCTGAATTTGTCTCCTTCCCTTGTGTTTTACTGTGGAAGGTATTTTTGTGATGATTAATTCGCTGCTCCTGAGACAGTCTGCATTTTTTTTTAAATCATAAAACCTTATTTCAATCTCTTTTTTTTGTGTGTGATGGGGATACACTTAGATATTTAAAACTTAGAGGGTTACTGTTTATGAAATTGTGGAGTTCATCCAGTGCTGGATGATGGGAAGGATAGTAACAACTCTGGAGCCAGGAAGGGGAGACAGTATATCGACTTCAGGTATGAAGGACTCTTGGGTGACATCCTGACATAGTGGGAGCTCCCTTAAAAAAGTCAAGATCCTACTGGTCCCCTTTATCTCTTGATAATATCTCCTTTCCCAATGCTCACCATGGGCTTTGATTGTCATGGGGATGAGAAAGGCCTGAATTAGGGGAGAATCTACATTAAATATTTTACTATGGAGAAATACTTGACTTATAAAATAAATGAGAGAATTATTTCTCTGTTTAAAACCCAAGTTTGAGCTATCTTGTTGCCTTCAGGAATTGCCAAGCTGACCTGCTAATAAAGTCTCCTGAGATCCTACATAAGGTTCTTTGTCACTAGGGAGACTATAATATTCTGAGGGTGATTTGGGAAGGATTCCCTGTACAAGTATCAGTTTGGTATCATATGTAGGGTTTACAGGACATTCAAAGGTGGTTTCTAAAATGGATGTATTTACTATTTGAGGCATGTTTCAGGGACTGGACTATGTCTACTCATTGAGGATATTACAGGTAGGTCTAAAATACCCATGGTTTTGACATATCCCTTTGCACTTAGGCTAGCTGCCTGTTTGACCACACTATATTGCCATGTGGAACCTTTCCAACAAATATATTCGTCTCATGTCACTGCTGTTAGGATATACTGTTACATACATCAAAAATCAATGCCCAAACTACCTCCTGCCCCTGCTCACTGTGGCCTGATATTCCATCAGTGTTCGCTCCATCCATCTATCCATCCATCCATCCATCCATCCATCCATCCATCCATTCTAGACATGCAGGAAACACTGGCTAAGCATTTACTTTACCAAGCCCTACCCTACGGGCAAGGAGATGAATCAGGCACATCCTTCAAAATGCTCACAGACTATTAGAGAAGACAGATCAGAAAGCAATAATTTTAATATAGTGTGATAGATTCTATAATAATTGTATCTCAAAAAAAAAAAAAAAAAACCAGTTTGAGCTCCCACCTCACATCCTGTTCAGCGTGACAATCACGAGAGCACTGTGAGAGAACTAGCCAGCTGAAGACTGTCTATGTCCCCACAGGGTAGAAAGGAATTTATTATTAGAAATTTACATTGCACAGAGCAAGATCTTGATTTGCCTTTGTAAGAGAACATCTTTATAAGGAGAAGCCTGGAGAGCTGAATCCCCAGAAGCCCTGGGGGAATCTGTGAAGAAGAGGATGGGAATAGTATTGGAAGGCTACCAGAGTAAGCATGGTGGCTTCCCCACTCCCCCCTTCACTTACTTAGATACCTACTTTCTTACCTCTCTGAATAATTTCTGGCTCTTCTGAATAACCACCTGAGGAGCATAAATACAGTTTTTGCTTTGTCAAAGACAGATAACTCAGGATGCTAGGGAGCAAGTTGGTGGACTGGAAATCCCCAGACCCTCCTTCTCTCATAAAGATACTGATCCAACAACAACGCGCAAACCAGTTCCTTTGTGAGAACACCAGAAACCAGTTAAAAGGACACTGCATCCAAAGTGAATGCAAACCCAGCTGTTATAATTATAAGATGTTTTATGTATGCCCCATGGTAACCACAAAGAAAATGCCTATAGACAATACAAAAAAAAAGGAGACAGCAATCAAACCATGCCCCTACAAAAAAAATTAATAAAACACAAAAAAGATAGCAAAAGAGAAAAAGAGGAACAAACCTTCTATAAGACAGGCAGAAAACAATGAACAAAATGTCAATAGTGAACAAAATGTCAATAGTAAGTCCTTTTCTATCAGTAATTACTGAAAATTTTTTTAATGTTTATTTATTTTTGAGGAAGAGAGAGAGAGAGACAGAGTGTGAGTGGGGAAGGGGCAGAGAGAGAGGGAGACAAAGAATCTGAGGCAGGCTCCAGGCTCTGAGCTGTTAGCACAGAGCCCGATGTGGGGCTCAAACTCACAGACTACAAGATCATGACCTGAGCCAAAGTTGGACGCTTAACTGACTGAGGCACCCAGGTGGCCCTCTATCAGTAATTACTTAAAATGTAAAAATTGTAAACTCCCTAATCGAAAGATGGCATGTCAGGGTGACTCAGTCAATAAAGCATTCAACTCTTGATTTCAGCTCAGGTCTTGATTTCAGGGTTGTGAGTTCAAGTACCACACTGGGTTCTGCACTGGGCATAAAGCCTACTCAAAATAAATAATAAACTCCCTAATCAAAATACATGGAATGACTGAACAGATTTTTAAAGGGGGCAGGTACCTAGGTGGCTCAATCAGTTGAGTGTCTGACTCTTTGTTTTGGCTCAGGTCATGATCCCAGGGTCATTGGATCAAGCCTTGTGTTGGGCTCCACACTGAGAGTAGAGCTTGCTTGAGAATCTCTCTCTCCCTCTGCCCCCCGCCCCCTTCTCTGTCTCTCCCTCTAAAATAAGAAATAAAGAAAACAAGATCCAACTATATGCTATCTTAGAGTTTCACTTTATATGTAAGAACCAATACAGGCTGAAAATGAAAGGATGGAAAAATATATTCCATGTAAATGTCAACCAAAAGACAGCAGAGATGGCCATACTTATGTCAGGCAAAATAGACTTTAAGTCAAAACTGTCATAAAAGATAAAGAAGACATTATGTAACAATAAAAGGGGAAATTCATCAGGAAGGTATAATGGTAAGTATATATGAACCTAATATCACACTATACAAATATATTATGCAAACATTGGCTGAATTGAAGGAAGAAATAACAACATAATAACAGTAGGAAAAAATAATAGTGGGAGATTTCAATACCCCACTTTCAATAATGGATAGAACATCCAGATAGAAGATCAATAAAGAAACAGTGGACTTGAATAACATTATAGACTAAACAGACCCAACAGACAGACCACCTAACAGCAGCAGAATACATATTCTTCAAGTACACACAGAACATTCTCAGGATAGATTATGTGTTAGATCACAAAAAAAGTCTTAACTTTAAGAAAATTGAAATCATACCAAGTTTCTTTTCTGACCACAATAAAATAAACTAGAAATCAATGGCAGAAGATTGCAAACTACACAAGTATATGGAAATTAAATAACATACTCTTGAACAACCAATGAGTCAATGGAGAAATCAAAAGGGAAATTAGAAAATGTCCTGATACAAATGAAAATAAAAACATAACACATGAAAAATTATAGGATGCAGTAAAAGCAATACTAACAGTGAAGTTTGTAGTGGTAAACATCTACATTATCTCAAACAACATAAATTTAAGCCTCAATGAACTACAAAAAGAATAATAAACTAAACCTAAAATTAGGAGAAGGAAATAAATAATAGAAATTAGAGTAGAAATAAATGAAATAGAGAATAGAAAAGGAATAGAAAAAAATCAATGAAATTAAGAGTTGGTTTTTTGAACAGATCAGCAAAATTGACAAACCTTTAGCTAGACTACCTAAGAAAAAAGGAGAAAAAATTCAAACAAAATTAGAAATGAAAGAAGAGGCATTTCAACCGATGCCACAGAAATAAAAAAAAAAAAAAGGGGGTACCTGGGTGGTGCAGTTGGTTAAGCATCCAACTCTTGATTTTGGCTCCGGTCATGATCTCACGGTCGTGAGATTGAGGCTTGCATTGGGCTCTGCACTGAGTGTGTAGTCTCTTGGGATTCTCCCTCTCTCTCCCTCTCTCTCCTTCTCTCTCTCTCTCTCTCTCTCTCTCTCTCTCTCTCCCTTGCTCATGCTTTTTTTTCTCTCTCTCAATCTCTCTCTCAAAATAAATAAATATTTTCTTTAGAAAAGAAATAGGAATGATGAGTCTTCTGTGAACAATTATATGCCAAACAAAGTGGTTAACCTAGAGGAAATGGATAAATTATTAGGAACATACAACCTACCAAGACTGAATCATGAAGAAATAGAAAATATGAACAGATCTATGACTAGTAAGGAGATTGAACCAGTAATCAAAAACTTCTCAACAAAGGAAAGCCCAGGACCAGATGGCTTCACTGGAGAATTCTACCAAACATTTAAAGTAGAATTTACAGCAATCCTTCTCAAACTTTCAAAAAAGCTGAAAAGGAGGGAATACTTCCAAACTCATTTTATGAGGCCAGCATTACCCTGATACTAAAGCAAACAATGACACTACTAAATAAATAAATAAATAAATAAATAAATAAATAAATAAAATAGAAAAAGCTACAGGCCAATATGTCTGACAAATATCGATGCAATAATTTTCAACAATATGTTAGCAAGTTGAAGTCAACAACACTTTGAAAGGATCATATACCATGACCAAGTAGGATTTATCTCTGAGGTACAAGGATGTTTCAACATATGCAAATCAACCAATGTGATACACCACTTTGAAAGAATGAAGGATAAAAATCACATGATCCTCTCCATAGAAGCAGGAAAAGCATTTGAAAAAATTCAACACCTTTTCATGAAGAAATGCTCAACTATCTAGGAATAGAAGGAAATTACCTCAATATAATATAAGCCATATAAGTCCACAACAAACATCATTATCAAAGGTGAAAAACTGAAAGCTTCTCCTCTACGATCTGGAACAAGGCAAGGAAGCTCACTCTCACTTCTATTTAACATAGTCCTGGAAGTCCTAGCCAGGACAGTCAGGCAAGAAAAAGAAATAAAAGGCATTCAAATCAGAAAGGAAGAAGTATAATTGTCCCCATTTACAGATAACATGGTCTTATATGTAGAAAACCCTAAAGATTCTCCCTGAAAAATTAGAATTAACAAACGAATTTGGTAAAGTCGGAGAACACAAATTCAATATGCAAAAATCAGTTGCATTTCTATACACTAACACTGAACTATGTTAAAAGGATATTAATAAGTGATACCATTTACGGTAACACCAAAAAGAATAAAATCCTTAGGGATCAGCTGATTAGGTGAAAGACTTGTACACTGAAAACTACAAGACACGGATGAGAGAAATTGGAGACAAAAACAAATGGACATCCTATTTTCATGGACTGGAAGACTTAATATTAAAACGTCCACACTATCCAAATCATTCTGTACATTCAATGCAACCTCCTTAGAATTTTAACGTTACTTTTTGCAGAAATAGAAAAACAATCCCAAAATTCATGTGGAACCATAAAAGATCCTGAATAGCCAAAATAATCCTAAGAAAGAACAAAGCTTCCTGATTTCAAAGCATATTATAAAGCTACAGTAATCAACACTGGATTGTACTGGCATAAATCAGATTAGATACCTAGAGAGAACAGAGATAGGAAAAAGAACAGATAGATAGATACCTAGATAGAACAGAATAGGGAAAAGACAGTCTCTTCAATAAGTGGTGCTGGGGAAAACTGGATATCCATCTGCAAAGAATAAAATTGGACACTTATACCATAAACAAAAAGAAACTAAAGAGGGATTAAATACTTAAATGTAAGAACAGAAATGTAAGAAACTACAAAACCCTAGAAGAAAATGTAGGGCAATTGCTTCATAAGTTTGGTTTTGGCAATACTTTCTTGAGTATGACGCCAAAGGCAGAGGAGATAAAAGCAAACTTAGACACGTGTGACTATCTTTAAACTAAAAAGCTTCTGTGTAGCAAAGGAAGCAATCAGCAGAGTGAAAAGGTAACGTATAGAATGGGAGAAATTATTTGCAAACTTATAGCAGGTAAGGGGTAAATATCCAAAAACCACAAGGAACTCTTACAAGTCAATAACAAAAAACTAAATACCTGACTTGACAATAGGCAAAAAGATTTGAATAGACATTTCTTCAAAGAAGACAAATGACTAACAAGTGTATGAAAATTTTCTCAACATCACTAATCATCAGGGACATGAAAACCACCATGAGCTATACTTTACACGTTTGGATAGCCGCTATCAAAAAAACAAACAAACACAAGAAGAAAACCAGAATATAACAAGTGTCCTGTCAGGGCTATTGCTCACATTTCCAGTATATTTTTTCCAATAGCTTACTGTGAAAATTGTGGAAGATGGAGAAGAGTGGAAAGAATTGTACAATGAATATCCATACCAATTTGTACAATGCCCAATTGCACAATGGATCAAGTTTTGTTGCATAGCTATACATGTATCTAGTCACTTCTCTGTGTTTTTCAATGTGCTTTTTAGATTACACTTTTATTTTGAGATAATTATAGATCCTCACGCAGTTATAAGAAATCATCCTGTGTACCCTTTACTCGTTTTTTCCCAGTAGCAACATCTTGCAAAGCTATAGCACAATATCACAACCACGATATCAGCGTGGATGCAGCCAAGATACAGATTCCATCACCACAAGGATCCCTCCCTTTACCCTTTTAGAGCCACACCTACTATCCTCACTTTTCTCCCCCTCCGAAACCTGTGGCAACCACTAAGCTATTCTCCATTTCAATAATTTTGTCTTTCAAAAAATGTTATCTGAATGGAGTTATGCGGGTTGTAGCCTTTGGGGATTGGCTTTTTTCATTCAGTACCATTTTCTAGTGATTCCAGTTGTTGTGTATATCAACAGTTCATTCCCAATGTGTTTTCAAAGGCATTTTCACACCTAGGGGACGTTCTTCATGAGCTTGTGCCAGTAAGTATCACCCCATAAAATCCCCAGCAATGTTAGAAAAGGAAATATACTCTTTAGAGTCTTTTCTTTGAAAAAACCAACAACAAAACAAAACAACTTATGGAGGTTTTGACATTTTGCAGTATTGGCCACAAGCATTTTGAAAAGTTTCCAATGTGGATTTTGTATGTGTGAACTTGAGAAGAGAATAAAAATGTCAGTGGCCGTATTCATCTTGCATAAAATATTTGAACTTTATGCTGCACTAAAACAATAAATTGTCTCTGTAATAAGACATGGGCAATTAAACAAGCAAGAGAAACAATTCATGTAGCTTGAGTTGAATGGAAGCCCTGCAATTGAAGTAATGTAATCACACCCCAGGAGTCTGAGGAGGGGGTGTGTGCCCAGGAGAGGTGACTGCTTTATGCTTCTTTATATAATGGATAAGGGAAGTGTAATTTAATTTGCAAACAGCAATCTTTAGAAATCAATTAGGAGTTTATTCCAAAGGGGGCAAACGTTGGTTACAGATTTATGGACCTCTCTGCAGAGGAGGGAAAGTTTAGCACTTAGGGCTCAAGCCCTGCCCTTCCCACCTCTCCACAAGTAACTCCCAGTGGGGAAGGAATGTAGCGGCCCACAAGGGAAGGAGTCCTGTGCAGGGGCTGCCGGAGAGAGGTCTGCAGTGGAAGACGTGAGCCTGTGCCCCAGAGCTGGGCGTCTGTGGACCAGGATGGTCAGGCTGATGCTCCTCTAGTTGTTGATACTGAATTCACACACAGGCAGATGCACTTGGGACAGACCCTGACATCAGGCCAGCGCTGGCTACTGGAGAGAGCCTCCTGCCCCTGAGTGCAGGGAAGGCTTTGTTTCGCAGCTTGGTGAAATACAGACCCAGGTACTCCTCACTCTATCGTGTACTTGCCTGTTCAGTCATCTCTAGCTGAGCACTGCCTTCATGTGCTCCTCTGAGCGTAGACCCGTGGCCGTCAGTCTAACAGGAATTAGCAATGATTTCTTGTGGTCATGTAAGTTCGAGGAACGCAGGTTTAATCAAAGTTAAGCAGGCCTCTTTACTGTAGGATGGCCCAGACCTATTGATCTGAGGCTGTGCATGGGGCATCTATAGATTATTATAAGACTGGAGAGTTATAATTACTGATTGTAAGATTATAATCAGATTTTTTTAAAAAAAAGTTATCTGACCAGGGACCCAGACAAAAGTGTTCTGGGTCACACTTGGAGGAAGGCTGCCGCGCTGGGTTCCTGTCTGTGAGGCTTGCATGAATAGGACCGCAATGAACACAGAAAGGTAAGTTCTGTGCTAGAGAACTTCCCGTTGTGTTCCCTGCTGTATCTCTACTGTCTAGGACAGTGCCTGGCTCACAGTAAGTGCCCAATGAATGCTGGTTACATGACTAAAAATAATAGCTATTATTTCTTGAGTTCTAGGAATTGTGCTGAGCTTTTTTCAGCCATTATCCCATTTAACTCTCAAAACAATACTGAGAACCAGTTCTCATTGTTATTCCCTTCTACAGGTGAGAAAACTGAGGGTTAAGACGGTTCCATAATTTGCCCATGGTCACAGAGATAGGAGGGGGTCAGGCTGCGGCTTGAATCCAGATTATATAGCTCTACAACCCACACGAGTAATTGTTTCTCTGCATTGCTTCTAGGAAGGACCAGGTAAGTAGATAAATGAATCCAAAACCCATCCAGGCATCACTCATCGGAAGGGAACTAGCCCTGAGTGGTCCCACCAAAACACCCCATTCCTCCAAGTGAATTCATCCTCAGAGGTGGCCTTCCAGGGTGCGGGGGACAGCACACATTCCCAAAACCTTCCTGGTTGCAGAGCATGGCACACATGCCTGTGGGAACTGTAGTATTACCAAGAACCAAGACCAGATTTACCTGCAAAACTTGATCTGGTCTTCATTAAGTTGTGTGCAGGTCTCCTTGAAACAAGAGTCAGCACTGAACACCGAAGCATGTAGAATAAAACAGCCACAGGAACAGGGTTTGGGGCAGGGGCTGAAGTTCTTGCCAGGGATCGAGTAATCACTAAGGCTTCCCAATGGGAAGTTAGGAGCATTAATTTCAGCACAGCAGACCGAGGCCCAAGAGAGAGCATCTCGACCTCATGATGTTGGTAGTGTGTCTACTAGACATTTCTACCCAGCACTGTGGCAGATAGGAAATAAACCCGCCTAGGAAAGTGGATGCTGATATGACGGAAAGCCAGGTGCAAAAAAGGCGTTCTCAAGATCCCTCTTTGCAAACAGGAAGTGCATCCCTCAGAAAGGGCCGGTTTATCACCCTAGTATTCAAGGGTCTCCTACAGCTTTGCCCAAAGGCCAGCCACAGGATCCAGGTCCCATTAGGGGCTGGTCCAGGTACTGAGGGCTGGGGGCTTTGCGGAGTGCCTCTCAAACATGACTTAGGCATGGCCCTGTCTTAGGGAAAAGCAGTCTCCACTTTTAAAAATTTTCTTTCTTCTTCTTCTTCTGCCCTTTTTTTTTTTAATGGATAAGGAATTGTTCAGCTGCCTCAGCAGCATAAATGAAATAAATTATCATTAAGATTAGGGATTGTGTTGTAAGTACACTCTAATTGCTAATTAATGCATTGTCCTGTTGATTTTTCCATGCATCTTATGTTTGACAAAGACGGAGGCTTGTTGCCAGCTCCGGGTAAAACATCGTCTCTAGCCCAGGCAGACAAGGTCGCTGGGTGAGTAAGACATTTCTTAGTTAACATTACTCCAATTCAGCATAGAACAGCAGTTAAGAAGGCTGACATTCAAGCAGATCGCCTGGGTTTGATCCTTAACTCCATCGCTTACTGTGTCTGCTTTGAGCAAGTTATTTTAATTCTTTGAGCCTCAGTTTTCCCTTCTCTATAACAGGGATAAAAATGATAGCATCCACTTTTTAAGATTTTGGCAAGGATTAAAAGAGAGAATAGAGTGAGGCATTTAGATGTAAGACCCAGTGTGAGTGCTAGCTGCCAATCTTACTATTCCAGGTGTATATTTTCTTAATCAAACTATTTGAGGCCAATTGGGTTGCAGAATTCAGGGGTTTTGTTTTGTTTTGTTTTGTTTGGTGTTTGGTGTGTATGTGGAGGGGGGGGTGTGCTTTGGCATTTAGGAAGCTAATGTGGCACACACAATTTATATTATGTTCCACTCCCTGCAGGATTGAGGGCAATGTCTCACAATCAAACACGCTAATATTTATGTACTTAAATATAGAAACATTCACATTAAGTGAGATAAATAAATACTATAAATACTTTTCTGTTACTTCAGTCAAATGTTCTCACCCGGTGAGTTTTGACATCAAATTTATGAAAAGGCTTTCAGGATTCAGAGCTTTTTAAAATTTTGGATAAGGGAGTTTTGACCTGTCTGACAGGTACTCCTGCAATAGGTTGCTGTGTCTACACTGGAACAGGTGCCATCCATACTCAGAGCCCTCAGTCATTTTCCTGACTCACTGCGGAGGTCTGTTTCAGCAGCAGATTCTTGGCTCCTGCCTAGACCTTGTGCAGGAAACTTCAGGGAGCCTCTGGGCTGAGCCTGGGAATGGTCAGTGGTCTACAGGGGTCAGGGCCTCCAGCTGTGAGTATCTGCCTGGTGCCAGGTGCTAGGTGCCTGATGCCCAGGGCCTGGCTGGGTTTTCTTGCTGGTCCCTGATGCTGTGTGCACAGTGCCCGGTCCTGCACCTAGCCTGGACTGGTGATGGCTCCTGCTTTACAGCTGGTCTCCTGGACAGATCTCTTCCTTTAAGTGAGGTGAGCAGCCTGATATAGTCATGGGCCAACTTGGGAAGCATAGTGAAAAAAGGGTCAAGAAGCACCTTCTCTCTCGAGGCTCTGAAATCACAGACTTATAGGCAGCTGAGTGAGGGCTGGGTGGGATTCAAATCTGTCCACTCACTCACTCACTCACTCACAGTAAACATTTACTGTGGTCCTACTTTGTGCCAGGACCCTTACCAGGCCCTGCATGGCCAGGAGTCCGCAGAGTCACAATGATATAAAGCTAACAGTGAGGAGTATTTGGAATGTGGGCCAGGCACTGTGCTCTGTACTTTACCAGATCGGCAGACTGGATTCCTCCTTCCCTCAGGCCTGGGGCCACTGGAGCCTGAACTTCTCACCCAAGCCTTAGAGTTCTAGCTCTTAAATTCTCCCCATGAGATTCTTCATGCTCTACAAAAGTGCATTTATCCTCAGTCTATAAAAGAATTAAGCTAGGTTCCAGCTCTAAAGTTAGCAAGAATGGAAATATCAACTTATCTGTCAACATCTGCTTCCCCCAAACTGCATGAAGATGCCACCAAGATGTGGGAATTTTTGCAGTAGGAGACTGGATGGACTAAGGTCTGCCCTGTTCAGGACCACTTATTAGTCCCCTTGCCTTGCGTAGGTCAGAATTTGTGGTAAATAGAGGCAGGAATTTGGGCCTCTGTACTGGGCCTCTCTGGGAATATTGGTGCTTGGTGCCCACTCAAAGATTTGTCAACTCTTTCTGAGCACAATCCTGTCTTTGCAGACATTGTCTGAATTCTAACTGCTGAGAAGGAAGTAGAAGGAGGGGAAGCCCAAGGGGACACTGAAGGCTGTCCTTGTGATTAAAATGAACCCATGAATGGCCCCATTTTGGGGCTCAGCCCTGCACCAGCCACTTTCATATGCCATGCCCCTTACTCCAAACTTCTGGACTTGATGCTATTTTTCCATGTTATACATCAGGAAAATGAGAAGTAAGAAGTTAAAGCAATTAATGTGGTGGCCTAGGCTATGGTTCAGATCTACTGAAAATCCAAGCTTTCGACATGAGATACAAAAAGGTGCCCTTCCACTCTGGGCCCCACGCTACTGAAGGCAATACATACCGGTGAGAGCCTAGAGGCACAAGAGATACTTTACTAGTAAAGTGCTTCCTGAGCTAGACACGCTTATTTGGCTGAAGTCTTTTCTTATGAAAACGAAGAGCCAGCCTGAAGACAGAGCCCTGCCCACTTGAGAAATAACCAGGGGAGAGACTGTGCCCCTCCAACACATCCTGCCCAGGGCCTGTGGATGGCCTGCTCTTGGAATGAAGATGGACACGATGGAATTTCAAAGTGAATAAAAACATTAAAATGTGAGTTGTCTGACGTTTCCTCCTAACTCTGGTCTTGGACATGCGGTGGTCTGGTTATATTCTTGCTTTTATGTCTTGCTGGCCTTCTGGTTTTAACACGAGCCTCAGTGTACTTAGGTACTGTGTGAGACAGCCTCTTGGTGTTGATCAACTCTGGGGCACAAATAAATTCTAGTTTTGGGGCCGTGTGCCAAGGTCCCAGTCATGGCTGCCCTGTGAGCCTTGTAGACCATAAATACCTGGGTCTCACAGCAGGTACCAAACAACCTTCTGCGCTGTTCATCCCCAACCACCTGAAGGGTGTAGGTGTCCCTGGAAGCCCCAGGGTTTGCTGGAGTTAGAAGGAGACCCTCAGGGGCTCCCGATCTAGCCTGTTTTCCTGCCTCCTAGAATTCTGTGTCTTCAGCATTTGTCCCATATTCTAATGAGATGTTCAGTTCTTAGCTGCAGACATGTGGAGAGATAATTGAGAATTAAAGTCAGAGGGAAAGACTTGAGGACAGCAATCATGGGTTTAAATTTATTATTCTTCTGCGTATCCATCATGTTTCTGCTCCGTAAGAGCCCTCAAATGATACTATTAATTCATTCTTTCAATAATATAAAACATTTTTTTCAGCCATTATAGAGGTACAGAGAAGAACAAGGCTTGGTCCATGATTTCTGCTTTGACTGGGTGGTTGTTCATTTTGAAGTCAGACCCAGTAAGGTAATGTGTGTCCAGAGCCTGGCTAACTCCTCACCTGTCTTCTGCTCTCCACTTCCCCCACCCCCGCTCTCAACCTTGTCTCCTCGTAGTCACAAACCCATGGTCCCACAGAGCCAGTGCCTCAGATCACTTTCTGTCCTCTCTGGCCCCAGATAATACTATTAAGCTCACCAGCTAGTTGTGAGGATCTAAGGCCACAGCGTAGGTGACAGTCCTGAGCACGCAGTCCTGGACACGCAGAGGCATCTGTCAATTTCACTTTTCTTCCTTCTCTGGATGGAAACTGCCCTGTCTCTATCATCAATCAGCACAAATGGTATTGGGTATTGTGTTCTTTCTCTGAGTTCTTGGGCCTTGCTTTTGGATTTTCCATTAGAAAGCATTATGGAAGAAGGCTCCAGTTCTGCTCAGGCATGCTCAGTACTGGGCACTGAAGACATTGCTGTTAAACTGAATGGAAATGGCTCTTGGCAAATCTGCCTCTGAATATACCCAGAATCTTCTCCATGACTTAGAGAGTTAATAATAATGGACATGGACGGAGTACTTGCTATGCTGCCCAGGCAAGGAGGCCTGGTTCCAAAGTTAAAGACATCTAGGCCAATTTCAGGGTAAAAATGGAAACTGTCCATAAACTAACCATGGAACTCAGGTGGGGAGACAAGGAGCCAAATTGCACATAGTGGTCCACAATTCTATTCTCCCAGGATACTTGCACTCTCTCCCCGGCCAGTGTTGCAGGCTAGTGACTAAACACATCATAACACCGATGTGTATAATATCATGAACATATGGGATGGCACCTGGAAGGGGCAACCTCTGCTGGGGGGTGCTGTGGTCAGACTCGCCTGTAGGCCTTTGAGGAGTTCAGTGGCAGGTGACACAGCCCAGTCTGCACCTTAAAGTTGAGCTGATGCATTGATTGTTCTCATCTGGATGTTGTTTTCCTGGCTGCAGGGAACCGTGAGAGGCAGAACAGCACAGTAGGTCAGAGCACAGCATCCAGAGCCAACTGCCTGGGCCTGAAGCCATTTACAGATGCTGAGAACATAACATAAGCCCTCTCATCCTCTATTCCCCAATCTATAGAATGAGGACAAAAATAGTGCCCCATGGCCCTGAAGGTGGAGTGACCAACTATGGCCAAAGTATGAAGCAAAGAGAAAGCCCTAGGTGAATATAGATATGATAATGACAACAGCGCCTTTTGGAGACACTTCTGTAACCCACGACCTGACATAGCACATTCCCAGGGAGGTGCCATGGTCAGCCAGGAAGCTTGGAGGAAGCCAGGCTTCCAAGAGGTGCCTTCTAGAAGTTTCTCTTTACCAAGTGTTTGTGCAGGAGATCCAGCTGCCTCTGACACCAGAGCTGAATCTGCTGGACAGTCTTGAAGGGCTGGGTACCACCTCTCCATCCTGGGACCACAGGTGTCCCTCCAACTGCATATACCAGCCTCGAGGATACCAAGATAGGGTTTGCTCTGAACAAGGAGGGAGCAGCATCCATAAAGTATTAAAAAAACACATCAAGAAAAGGAGTCTGGAAGCAACATTACTCCTAGATAAAAAGCTACCTTGTTTTCTTAAAGAGATTTGAATTCTCTGAATTAAGGAATTGTGGTTTTAAAGGTTACCTGAGGGAAATACGGAGTTTTTAAAGCCCTGGGCTTTAATTAAAACTCACTCACACGCAACTAATGTGTGAGCCCAGATGTCCCCTGCATGCTCTCTGGGAACACAGGCCAGAAAAGGTCTCTGATGAGATGAGAAACTCTGAAGTCCTCAGCCCTGCATGCAAGCCCCCTCTTCTCCTATTCCTGTTCCTATTTTTTAGGAAAGGCTGGACACCCTACTCTTCAGACATGAATGTATCCAGGCTCTGGAATGTCCATAATCCCTGCAATTTACACATGGGGCAGAACATGGTTGGAGTTGACATACTGGTGGTGGTAAAATAAATTCCTACTTTACCACCTCTGCTCATGTGGTTCACTGTGATGGTTTGAATGGCTGCACCATTCAATCCTGCTGCACATGGCCATGTTTGTGAAGGCTCTTTGGATGTCCTTGTCCCCGCAGGGACTCCACATAATCCGTTATTAGAAGCCAACTCAAATTATCATTTCCCTCAACAGATCCCACCCCAAACATTAGCTTTGCTCCACATTCCATGGGGCTTTAGTTATTTTATAAAGCAGCCACCTGCCTTGAAAGGTCTCTGGGGAGAAGGTTCCTCTGGGCTGAATTTGGTCCCAACACCAGCGAGATTGACCTACTCAGTGTTTCAAAAACAGCTAGTTGTTGATCTTTAGAATTCAGGAGTTTTTTTTTTTTTTTTTTTTTTTCCTTTTCAATTCAGGTTCTTCTCAAAACTCAGAATACCTAGCAACATGTGCCGACAATCAAACAAGGTAGCAATTGGCTGGGTCCTGCTTTCAGTGAGAGCAGCCCCCCTGCAGCTCAGCACAATCCCAGTACCCCTGTGTCTTCCACACTCACTTTTACTTTCTGCTTGGCCCTGGGATGGGTCTTTCCAAACCAAGAAGTAAGCATAAAGTAAGGGAGCAAAGACTTGAGTACCGGGTTGCTGTGAAATCACCACCCCAAATCCCTCACAACTTTGCCACTAAGGGGTTGTGTGAGGTTGCATCTTTGCTTAAATGGCATGGAGGTTAATACAGGCAAAACAAGAGCATATGCAGAGACTCCAGACAGTCTTATTCCCAAATGTTGGAATCTCTCAGTTAATAGGAGTAGCCATCTTTTTCTGACAACAGCTAGGGAAATTTTGCACATCTTTAAAAATGATAACTGTTGGGGCATCTGGGTGGCTCAGTCAGTTAAGCATCTGACTTCGGCTCAGGTCATGATCTTGGGGTTCATGAGTTTGAGCCCTGAGTCAGGTTCTGTACTGACAGCTCAGAGCCTGGAGCCCGCTTCAGATTCGGTGTCTCCCTCTCTCTCTCTGCCCCTCCCCTGCTCACACGGTCTCTCCCTCAAAAATAAACATGAAAAAAAGGGATAACTATTACATTTTCTTAGCAACATTCTAGTTTTGCATTTACCTCCTGAGTTCCAGCCCCTTGATGACTTTTTGGATGAGGTGCACGTTCCTATTCCTGGTCATCCTCCTGTTGGGGCAGCTAGAAAACAGGTCAGTTTATGTATGCCGAGTCACTGATGAAGGTTCAGGGAGGGTCTCGTTCATTCCACAGCTAATGTGCTTCTGAGCGGAAGCAGAACATGGTTTGGTTTCTTCCTTCCTTTCTGCTGTAGAGAACTTTAAAAATCTCAAACCGTAATTTCTAAGCTTTCTCTGTACTTGACTTTTCTTAAATAGTTTCATTTTCTAGTCCAAAAACAATGCTCTGGCTTTCTAAGGTAAATAGGGCCATTTCTGTTCTGGAAGCAGCTGATGGAGAAAACCGAAGGTGAAGGAAGGCTATTAGAAGAAATGGGTCACATTCTACAAATCCTGGAGCCACAACTGTCTCTCAGGACACCAACCATTTCTATTTCTCCTATATCTTGAAAAGGTGCAGAAAATATCAATTATACTGAAGAGAAAGGGCTTTATTTGCATGTTCTTATTTCCTATACATGTCACGTACAAAGTAATTAATGAACTTGAAATTAAAAAAAAAATTAAATTTTGGCGGGGGTGGTTGGGTGGCTCAGTTGGTTAAGTCTTTGGCTCTTGATTTCACCTCAGGTCATGATCTCATGGCCCATGAGATTGAGCCCTGCATTGGGCTCTGTGTCAACAGTACACAGCCTGCTTGGGATTCTCTTTCCCTCCCTGTCTCTCTGCCCATTCCCGGCTCATGCGCGCGCGCTCTCTCTCCCTCTCAAAATAAATACATAAACATTTAAAAAATAATTAAAAAATTAAAAAAATAAATTTTTTATGTTGACCGTTGAATGATAATCAGTTTTTCCTGGATCTCAGAAAACCACAGAGGATGTGCCACTTTGTGTTGAATGAGGATCTTGGGGCAGTTCTTGGGGCGGGTTATAACTCTGCTCCATGAGCAGCCATGATGGGACAAAGTTGCTTAATCATTCTGTGAAATTCCTCTTCATAGGAGAGCACATCCCCAGCCTTGGCAAAAGACTGCTTCTAGAAGCAAGAAATAAGGACCTGGGCTTTTAAAAAGTAATCTCTACTCTGAGGATGTAAAAATCATAGCGGAGGGGCGCCTGGGTGACTCAGTCAGTTAAGCGTCTGACTTTGGCTCAGGTCATGATCTCACGGGTGAGTTCGAACCCCGCGTCGGGCTCTGTGCTGACAGC